TGTACAACTTGTATAATAATCCATTTTATATCTTAATGTTTTTTTATTTTTAATTATTATTAGTATTAGTATTATTATTATATGTAAATATATAACTAATAACAAATTATCTAGATGCCATTATACATTACTGATACTTCTTCTGTTCTTTCTTGTGCACATTTTTTTTTACTATTTGCACAGGAGATCTTTTATGTGTTAATCCAAACAACTATTACTTCACATTTACACAGTGCTGGTTTAATCATGTATCAGATTCAGTCATATTCAATCAAAAGTAGTTTACTTACCAAGACCAGAACCATGTGGCAAAGAAGACCAGCTGTGGATCTCCAGTCCGCCACCCCAGTGCTTTAACAACTGCTCTTTCAGAGAGACAGGAGACGATACACACACCAGCTCACTGCACACACACACGGCTTTTAGCAAGGCACCTACAACACAAACACACAACTTCACGCTTAACATATTTACACATAATTGTACATTTATGTTCTACATAGAAACATTTGCAAAAACAAAAACTGTGTTACATCACATAGAATGTCAGTTGTGTGCCCCTCACAGTATGTTCTCTCACCTGGAGCGTGAGGCTGGCAATAGTCTTCCAGGTCAGTAAGATCCTCACAGAGTGTTTCTGTGGAGATGCTGCAGGCTGCTTCACCGCTGGTACTGACCAACAGCAGATGAGGCTCTGGAACACGTCGAACTCGAGCTCCAATCGGCCGTTTTCCATCCACCTTGATGGCCACATTGATTACCAGTCCACCATGTTCAAACGCAATAGGAGGAGTGTCACTCCAGCCACCTGATGACGTATTCAAACACACACTTTCAGCACACATTGTGGAAGACCCAAGGAAATCTAACAGTTCTGTCTTAAAGCTTTGGTTTGATATGGACAAGGAATTAACTGAATTGCAATTCTGAAAATGAAGAATGTATCAATTCTAGTCCATAAAAGATCATTTATTAAATAGAATTAAATATATAAGCTAAATACCTCTGCACTATCGTTCAAAAGTTTTTAAAAATGTTTTTGAAAGAAGTCTCTTATGTCACCAAGACAGCATTTATTTGATCAAAATTCAGTAAACAGTAAAACAGTAATATTGTAAAATATAATTACAATTTTAAATAACTTTTCTATTTGAATATATTTTAAAATATAATTTATTCCTGTGATGCAAAGCTGAATTTTCAGCATCATTAGTCCAGTTTTCAGTGTGAAATCATTCTATGTCGACCGATTGATGATCAAGAAACATTTATTGTTTATTAATGCTGAAAACTGTTGTGCTGCTTATTGTTTTTATGCAAACCGTGATACTTTTTTTTCAGAATTCTGTGATTATAATAGAAAGCTTAAAGGGGTCATATGATGCTTTTTTAAAGATCATTATTTTGTGTATTTGGTGTAACAGAATATGTTGACATGCTTTAATGTTCAAAAAACACATTATTTTTCAAATACTGTACATTATTGTAGGTCCTCTATGCCCCGCCTCTCTCAAACGCTTCGTTTTCTACAAAGTCCCTCCTTCCGACAAGCGCAGTCTGCTCTGATTGGCCAGCTGACCCAGTGCATTGTGATTGGCCGAACACCGCAAGCACTCGTCGGAAATGTAACGCCCCTTACCATAATCGCAAGCTTCATCTTTCAAAATATGTAATTAGTTTTACCATCAGTTCGAGTGATGAAGCTGGTATGTGTGCAGTACACAAGCCACGGTTAAGACAGCTGACTCTACTATGATGTGACCACCCCCCACCCTCTCTCTCTCTCTCTCTCTCACGCTCTCTCTCTCGCTCGCGTACACACACACACGATGCGCAAAACTCCGCATTTGAACAGTCAATAGCAAATACTTAAAAAAACAGTAGTTCAGAAGCGCCGGATTGTCATAGCAAAGTCAGAATTACCTCCTCTCATAGGTTCACGAAACGGTCGTCCATAAAATGCATTGCTGTTCTGTTGTAAGTAATCTTAAAGAGTTCTAAATGCATCTACTTTCGGAAGGCCAAATAAAGTGCTTTTGCTTTCGCCTAGAAACACACAGCGTCTCCCTGACATGCTGCTTCAACACTAACTGCGGTTACTGAAACCACGCCTTCTTTCTTTGCGTGCACATTTGGGCACATTATGCTAATATTTCCACATAGTGAGGTAGATATGTGGGGGCGTGTTAGAACGAGCCGTTTTAGGGGGGCGTGGCAGAGTCTTAACTTTGATAAAGAATATCTCTTTGGTTTTGAGACTTTAGTCTTTGCAACTTCAGGGATCTTATCTATGCACAATCAGCTTGTAACACTCCAAAGAGAAAGGAAAACTTGAAATTGCATCATATGACCCCTTTAAAAGAACAGCATTTATTTGAAATATAAATCTTTTGTTATAAATGTCTTTACTGTCACTTTTGAGCAATTCTGAATTGCTGTCACTTTTGAATTGCAATTCTAAATTTCGTTTAAATTCAAGAACTGAAGTGCAATTTATTTCAGTTAAACTCTGAACGCACAGAAACACAGAACTCTCTGATCAGCTGAAATGAAGAGTGCTGTTCTCACCTGACAGATCTAGTCGAGCAGGACACTCCACTTCCTGCCACTCACCCATGGGCAGCATCTCTCCTTGACCAATGAACACAAACTCACGTGCTGACATAACTGCCTTCCGCAGCAGTATCTGTCCCGCCCCCTCATAATGCCTGGCGGCTCTCACCAACAAATCTGGTCTTTAGACAACGACGACAAATCAGAAATTCTCACTTTACAGCTCTCAAATTTATGCATTTTTTAAGTTCTGACCTGCAGAGCCAGTGCTTTCTTTGATTGGCCAGTTCTTGGACACCTGCAGGTAAGTTTCCATCCTCTAGAAGCTTAAAAGCAGGGGCCCATGATGGATTCGCCGCTGGTCCACTGCGCAAACCACCTTTACCCTCACCAGCCAGACAGCCAAGGACATCAGCGATACAGGCGAGACAGCGTGCAGCTACTCCCAGATCCCCACTGCTGCCTGCAGCCACTGAGACAACAGCCAAACCATCAGTATCCTCAAAAGTCAACATATGCAAACCATTCCTCATCTTTTGCTCCTCACCTGAGTCCAGCACCTGCAGTAGCTCCTCCTGCTGGCCGGCCAGCACTGCTGCTCTGAAGGACGGCAGTAGACTGAGATCTGTGTGGCCTTGTAGAGCGTCCACGGCTCTTCTTCGGCCCACATTGAAGAACAGCTCTTCTCTCCAGTGCAGCTCCGTCTGCTGGTCCGTCAGGATGAGAATATCCCTGAGCGAGAGTCTCCAGGCTTCCCTCCAGCTGTCCAGCCCACCAGGACCACCCAGGAGCCAACAAACACCCTCTAGTCCAACGCGTCCTGAACGTGGCATGAACACTGGGAACAATCGGGTGTCCAGCAGACAGCATGACTCAGTCCTCTCAGGTCCCCAAAGGTACTGAGGCCTTTAACACACACATATATATGTTAGACACACTACATGAAACTATGACAGTCTCAATCTAAGCAAAACATGCAAAAAATTAACCGTGAAGTCACTTAGGCAGCCTCTTCCTGTAAAAGCAGGTGGCTCTTGGATACAATAATCTTTAAAATAGAGCAAATCTTTAGTCAAAAGTCTGATTATGTGATGTATGAACGTAGAAGTTTCTTACTGTATTTCAGTCCGACTATAAAAATCACTCCATTTTAGATTAAGGAATGATGCATTGACATCATCAGTGTAGGCCTGGGTGGAAAATAGCATATAAAATATAAAAAATGAGCAAACATTTTCTTATTTATATTGTTTCCTTTCACAAGTTGCTTTAGATAAAAGTGTCTGCTGAATGAATAAATAAAAATGCAAATGTAAGGAAGGTGCTCTAAACTCACCTCTAA